TAGGCTAATATAATATGATTTGCTATTGCAGCAGAAGCTATTTAAAAGTGATTTGAGAACGGATACTTGAAAACATCCATCACAGCTCTGAATTACATCTTGGTGAGAAGGTTAATGATTAAGTTTTCAGAATTCTTTCTTCCTGATAAAAACAATTCCTATCGCATCAATTTTAAGGTAATAAACAGACAGTGAGCAAGTGGAATATTGAACCCAGATGAAGAAACCCAATTTAAAAAATCCTCTCATAACTTACTCAAGCTTTGTTGTTGTCATTTAAGGTTGAATCACTGTCCTGATTAATAAAGTGAGGGTCCCATTTGAGAACAAGCTGGGAGGGGTCTCTATTGGCAAATGGTATCATATTGTGTATTGGGCATGTGTTCAACCCTTAAGCTGCTAGTGAAAACTGGCAGCAGAGTGCAGTGTGCAGGCATGAATGTTCACTCTTACGTTGGAAGTTAGGGGATTCCTCAGTTTGGGAGTTAGGAACCACACACTTTCTTTCTGCTTGCAACCTAAAGGGAGGCAAAGTGTGCTTGAAGAATGTGCACCCACAGGTGCATGTTTTACCACCACCACCATTCCAGTATCATTAATATCCATGGGCCTCCAGCAGTTGCTGAATGCAAGACTATCTTCCCTAGCCATAGGCCATGCTACCTGGCCAGCAATGTCTGGAGGGGTACAGATTCGCCACCCCTAATTTACATTGTGAAGGTAACTATTGAAAGGATAGAGGAAGAAGGCAACTGATTGAGCACGCATGAGTCCAATCCCTCTTCTTCAATTGTTTTAACTATGGGGATGCTTTAAACCAGTGATTCCCAAACTTGTTTTTTTATTGCATTACAATTTGAATTCCATAGTATTAAACCTGTAATGCAAAACGTACAATATAAGAAACAAAAGAAGTAATAAAAAATACAATTAAATAGCAATGTGAATATTTAGCAGAATGGGTGTGCTGCCTCCCATTGTCAACCACAAATCCACAGACACACTGCAGACTACTCCACTTTAACGGAAGGAATCTGTACAAACCAATAATGTGTGAAAGGGGCTTTAGTGAAATAGCATTGTGTTTGCATCCACAGGTGGTAAGTTTAGGCTTCCCGATCCACAGCATCTATTTCTACAGACCAAATGACATTCCGAAGAATGATTGCACCTGTATGTGTTTGAACCAAGCCAAACCTACAACGCTTGTGTGTTAGCGCTTATGTGAAAATAGTGCTAACACGCCTCAGACTCCTATGCTTTTTGCACCTCCTCTAGTATTTCAACCTATGTAGCAAAAAGGAAGCATGATAAAAGGCATTTAGCCAGATAATCAGCTACATTATATGCACAGAAGTGAGGCAGAGGGCTCACTGTTAGGATGGTGTTACTGGCTAAAGTTTTATTGCATTACCATCCAATACTTCTTTCTGGAGAAGAATAAATTCAGATAAAGAAAAAGAAATATACTGGATCAGAATGCAGCTTGCTTTTCTAAGTGCTCTCTAAGTAAAGATAACATTTCATCTAATTTAGCCATAGCAAAAAATACATCTGAGTCACAATAAGTCTGTGCCACGTTACTGAGCACAAGGCGCTGACAAATAAAATGCTATTACACTTTAATACTTTGCTGGAAGGACCAAGAGATACTTCAATATAACAAGCTCCTTTGCTTCAGATGTATTACAAGTTCTGGAACAGAACCCATAAATGAAAACAAAGAGGAGAGCATCACAAATCCAAATGTTTAAGAAAATGATTCAAATAGACCCAGGACATTTTTATTGGAAGGTCTGCAAAATTTTAAATGTATTTTTATCTCATGAAAGATGCACAGTTCACTTAAAAATAGAGGTTTAAATTATTTGAGGTATCCCCATTGAGGGGGGAGGGAACTTTTCCGTATTACAAAACCACTGTATTTTGCAACAAGTTTGCACTGAGTGCTTTTCATGCTCTTACAGTGTCTTAAGGACTTTTGCCTTCGTGAGAGTTCTTGATAGGCCGGGATAGAAGAGTTTGGATTTGATATCCTGCTTTCTCACTACCCTAAGGAGTCTCAAAGCGGCTAACAATCTCCTTTCCCTTCCTCCTCCACAACAAACACTCTGTGAGGTGAGTGAGGCTGAGAGACTTCAAAGAAGTGTGACTGGCCCAAGGTCACTCAGCAGCTGCATGTGGAGGAGTGGGGAAGCGAACCCGGTTCACCAGATTACGAGACTACCGCTCTGAACCACTACACCACACTGGCTCTCAGTTGCTAGTGTATGAGACTCTTAATCTCAGGATTGTGGGTTTGAGCCCCACATTGGGTAAGAGATTCCTGTGTTGCAGGGAGTTGGACTAATGATCCCTGGGGCCCTTTCCAACTTTACAATTCTATCATCCTTTAGGCTTCAACAAACACATATAGTATTTCCAGGCTAGCCTTCCAGGCCCAGATCAGATGATACTACTGAGATTTTATCCCTGTTCAGGTCTTACTTGTGTCATGGCAAATGTGGCAAAAGGCACAACGGGAGCATCAGCCTGCTCTTGGGCAAGTGTTTGAAGTGGGGAGATTAAAATTTCAGGCTTATTAAATCTGTATGTCCTGAAGTGACTTAAAGGTTAAAAATACAATAATAAAATTACAATATATCTCTCAGAATATAATATCATTGGTTCTGCCCAAATGCACAGGAAAACAAAAACTTATTTGCTTGCAGAAATGTGGACCTCAATTTTAGTGCAAGTGTTTACTAGGAGACATTTGCATTAAAATGTTGCATTAGAATGTTCATTATTTTTTTTTATGCAAATTGCTGCAGAAACTAGGAAAACTGAATTTAAGATCGGAAAAATGAGAAACTGATAGAAGCAAAATGAACAGATCATTCCACCCCTGCCTCTAATCTTCTATATCCAGTCCTCAAGACAATTCTCTCGAACCCACACCCTCCCCTCATATGCCATCCTCTCTGCAGGTGCTTTGTTCTGGATTGAATCTGTGCTTGAACTTTGTACATGCTCCTTCCTTGCCTGAATGGTGGTTGAAGAGTGGGGAAGGTTTGTTGGAGAAACCTCTGGATTTTGCAGGACTGGGATGTAACCTACTTTGAGGAAGAATCTCATCTATTGCTCTGCACACTTTTTGCTTCTGGCCCTGCTCACTCTTGCCTCTGACTCCATACACTACAGAGATGTAGTTCTGGGCATCTGTCCATCCATGAGGAAGTGTGGCCTCTGGGCTAAAAAAAGATTCTGCGCCACTGCTCTCACAGTATCAAGCTCGGCACCTAATACCACTGATCACGTTTTCGCAGAAGCTGGCTCATCCCAGTGGTTTCTACTGTGGCTGTTCAGATCAGATGAAGAATGCATGTGTTATGGCATTACATGCAAAGCAACAACCGCACAAAATGATAGCCCATGTATAATCCTTTCGTATACCATAGTTTAAAGTAATGTGTTTTTATCCCTCTAAGCCAGATAAGCCACATAATATAATTTGAAAACATCTGAGTGATGCTATTGGGCCACCACAAGATTGGATTACAAATTGATAAGCTCCTACTTCAGCTTGCTGAACTGAAAAAATAAAAATAAAAAATCCTGTTTGGAACACATTTTGTTTTTTAAACAGCTCCTTTTCCAAATCCCATAGAACTGCGGGTTTGCCCTGTAAGAAACTGAAAACTGTTTGCATGGCTTTCGCCCCCTTCTCCTATCCATTGGCAGTACTGCAATAAACACACAACTTTCAACAGACATGGGATACTCTGTTTACTCTAACGGAATGTATACTTCAACAGAAAATCAGAAAAGCATGTGTTGGCATTTGGAAAGAACGTGTAGTACCGAACTGCGATGTGATGTATCGCATTCTGAGTTTTGAATAAGTGAGATATCTGGTTAGGTCCCCCCCCCCCCGCCGCCCCAAATGTACCTGGATTCAACAGAGCATTTTATTTATATAAATAAGACATTCCATTCTTCTGGATGATTTGCAAAGTTCCATGTGAAAAACCATATCTGTTTCAGCTGAGATTCCTGCATTGCAGGGGATTGGACGAGATGTCTCTCAGGGTCCATTCTAACTCTACAATTCTATGATTCCCGAGAAAATTTGCAAACCTGTTGTTCTCCAGATGCTTTGGACTATAACTCACGTCAGACCCAGCCAACACTGATCAAGGCTGGTGAAGCATTGTGGAAGGGCCATAGTTAAGTGACATAACATCTGTGTTGCATGAATACGTTCTCAGTTTCGATCCCTGGCATCTTGAGATAGACTCCCTGTCTGAAACCCTGGACAGCTGCAACTAGACAGTGTAGAAAATACTGAGTTTGATGGACCACTGGGCGGACTCAGTATAAGATTCCTATGTTCCTAGAATGCCCAGGGCGGTCAAATCAACGAAGCACTCTATATCATCAACAAATGCACACTTAAACTTACAGTAGGTCAGCATTTAGTATACAGAATGAACCATGAGGTGTGAATGAGTGGGTAGCGTTTCATACTTGAACACATTGGGATGCTTTTGGCATGTGTAAATGCAAGGAAATTTGGAATTACTACTTCATGAAGTGAGCACAAGAGTGGGAACAATATAGCTTCCTTTGTCTCCATGCTTCCTTTCCTTTCACTCTCCTTCAGGGACAGATTAAACGCTCAGTAAATATGAAGCATGTTCTCTAGTCTTGCCATCATTCACTTGTTCCACATGGAGGAGGGAGAGAAGTTGGAGAGCATCATGTCCCAGATGGACAGGGGGTGAGAACATTTGTTGACCTTATACACTGTAAAATACACCCTGCTCCTCACCGGGAGCTTCCAAATGTTCGCGACAACTTTGATAAATAGAGTTGCCAACTCGAAAACATGAAAATTCTGGACAAATAATTTTCTAAGAAAACTGAAAACACAAGGATTTATGTGAAGAAAATGAGATCAGTGTAGAGCATCTGAAGTAAGAAACATATAGGTCTCCATTCTCACATAAGTGCCACTTGGAGAAGGGTGTAGCATAGTGGCAGAGCATCTCCTCAGTATGAAGAAGGCTCCAGGTTCAATCCCAGGTGTTTCCAGGTAGAACTGGGAGAAACGCTCTCTTGAAATCCCAGGAGCTGCTGGCAGTCTTGTAGACTAGATGACAAATGGTCTCACTCAGTATAAGGTAGTTTCAGAAATTGATGCCGCAGTTAACTAGGTACTGCCTTCACAGATAAATAACTCCCATTGCATGCTCAGAATCATAAAGGAGGCAGTTGAGGAAACCGACAGTCAAGCAGCAACCACTATGCACAGCTGAATTGCAGCTCCATGCACACTTCCACGCAACCCATATGTCTAGGGAATCTGTATTTTGAATGGATTACTAAAGGACCTCGGCTAGCTAAAGTTCTCACCAGGTGCAACAAAGTATGGGCAAGGTAAAGACCACAACAACTCACCCCTGCAGTACATGACATGGCAAGCTGCACCTGCCAAATTTATCTTTTCTATGAAATCTTTAGAGGTACAGGAGCTCCCTCCTCCATCTTAACTGGCCTAGAGAAGGTACAGCTCTGAACCACATTGTGGCATCAGTGCCCTGTCCGGATAGGTGGTGGGGGTATAAGCCCGCACCACCTATCAGGAGCTAGATCCTGGCCTGCATCCCGGATTGGCAAATGGGGATGCAGACTCAGACATGGGCTGGACCACGGGGCGGAGCCAATGGAACAAGAAGGCTTCCCTCGGGTCCACTCCCTGGCCATTTAAACAGCCCTCACCTGGGGCCCTACCTGATTTTTCTTCATTGGGTTCCCCACCCACCCTTGGTTCAAACTGATGGTCAAGGACTTTGCTGTGGCTACAGTGGTCGCCATATTATGAGGCTGGGTAGGAATTTGTCCATCAGACAAATTGGCTCCAACCTGGTGACTTTGCCTGCCTCGTAGCAATCATCACAACTGGGTTGGGCATTGGGGCAATCCTTTGTCTTGCATGGAGGGGAGGTTGTAGTCTCTGCTTACCCTTCCAAATGCTAGGGTATCCTGTTAAAGGGACCCGGAGGTGTGGCCATATCTGCGTGCCTAGGCAGGGCCAGGGCTGATGGCAGTCCCCAGATGGCGGTCTCTTCAGGGGTCATACTATTTGATGTAAGTCTTAGGAACCCTTGCCTGGATTGACCTACGCGTCACTTCCAGTGGGCAGGCCGGAAGTATTTTGATTGCCCCGTGTCCAAGCCAAACCTCTTTCATCTGTGCTCAATAAAGTTGTGGCCTCTTTTGATCCAAACCAGTCTTAGTGGTCTTTCATTTATCTGGAGGTTGGGGACTGGGGAGCATGATGCCTGGGTCTGCAGTTGAGCAATTTCAACACCCTTATGCAATTTGCTCTAGGTGAAGCCAAGGTCGTGCTCCTTGGAAGTCATTGGACTACAACTCCCATCATGCCTGACCACTGGCTCTGTTGCCTGGGGTTGGTGAATTTCAGAGTGAAACAACATATGGAGAGTGCCACGTCCTGCAGAACATTATTCCAACAAGAAAGGTTGTTGAGCACGTAGCAGAAAATAGTAACTCTTTTCTGTCTGTCTTTAAAAATCTCTAATCAAGAATTATACAAAAATGATTCTTAACTCTAATATTGATTATAAACTAAAAGGATTTTAATTACATTATACTCAGAGAAATAATTTAATTTAACTACACAGACAAGAGGGATCAGATACTTTGCCTAGGCATTTTTTCAAATTAAAATATTCAGGAGGAAATTTGAATGTAATGGCTAGATTGCCTTTCTTTTCATTATGCCTTTATCAATGATTATAGCAGTGGGATGTATTCTTGTAAGTCCTTTTGAAAAACTATTAATCTGATCACCTAGAGCTCCATGCCTGAATGCCAAAAGCTTTTAGGACAGGATTTAAGTATGCAATTCCTGGTTAAGAAGTATGAATATTAAAGCAAGATTTGGAGACAGTATTGCTGTCACATACATTTTCTTCTGGTATTTCCAGCGTTGGGACACACTTGATGTGAGCTCTTGTAATAATTCAACAGACACCCCATATAAGAGGGTGAGAACTTTATTAGAATGAGAACAAGTCCCTTCCTGCTTCCTACGAGGACATAACTAAAACTACCAACATGACTGGAAAATAAAACTGAATAAAAGCACTGCAGTCTATAATGTGCTTACTGAGAGCTCACCTCCTGAAGCACAGGTTTGGCCATTCAAAGACTGTATACTTGAGCAGGTGAAGATCACCCAAATGCCTTTAACAGATGCAACCCCTGCTGAGTGTTATCTGTCTTAAGCTAGGCCTGATCACACCTGCTATCCTGCAAATACCATTTGAGCCACAGTTTCTCTCTACGCTTGTTGGTAACTAGTCTCCTCCACCATCTACTTGAAGCAATCCTACATAAAGTACTTGCTGCATTGCTCTTCAAAAACGGAGATTAAAATTCTCCTGTTTTGTACCCAGCTACTAGGCTGCAGCTCCTGCCAACCTAGCAGTTCGAAAGCACATCGAAGTGCAAGTAGATGAATAGGTACCACTCTGGCGGGAAGGTAAACGGCATTTCCGTGCACTGCTCTGGTTCGCCAGAAGCAGCTTAGTCATGCTGGCCACATGAGCCAGAAGCTGTACGCCGGCTCCCTCGGCCAGGAAAACGAGATGAGCGCCACAACCCCAGAGTTGTCCGCGACTGGACCTAATGGTCGGGGGTCCCTTCACCTTTACCTTTATTAGGCTGCAGACTGCATCCACCTCCAGGTCATCTCCCAGCTAATGTGTTCTGCTGTCACCAGTGACCCACACTGATGAATTCATTGAAAGCTAATGGCCTTTTCCACCTGCCTTGCCCACCCTCCAGCCTTAGGAGCCTCCATAAGGGAACTGTTTCCCAAGGAAGAACAGTGAGGGGAGAAAGACTCTTTGCCATCAGGGGCTGGTTGGTTTTACCTGTGCTGCCTACCTCCAGTCTGAGGAACCTTCAGAAGGGATCTGCTGTCCGCAGGCATTAGGTGTATGTGTGTTTTAATGAGCTGAACAGAGTCAAAGGTTATGAGTCATGGAGGTGTGGAGAGTGTGTTTGAATTTAACAGTGCTTAGTTTATTTTTTGGTTGTTATTTTGTTAATGTTGTTTTGTAGGTTATAAATGCTGTATTGATTTGGTAATCACACAACATGACTTTTGCTTTAATTATGATAATTTTTTCTTCTACCTTGTTGTTGCTTTGTTAACAGTGTTCCATAGATTGTAACTGTTTCACTAATGAACTGTTAATTAGTCTAAATGATTTGTGCTGTATTTGTGCTGCTCTTTTATGTTGTATCATGTTATTGTTATTTATTGTTTGTTAGCCGCTTTGGGAGTCATTTGAATGAAAAGCGGCATAGGCATATAATAGATACTGTAAATGGATAACATTAACAATTTCATCTCTCCTACATGTGGTTGTCATGAAGAGTCTAGCAGCAACAATCTAGTGCTTATACTTGTATGGGATGCTAGTAATCTTTCTGGAACAATAAGGCCTTTTCCGTCTCTGACTTGAGCTTATCATTGTGGTTTATTTTCACTAAATAGTACCTTATATAATGGCTGGTTGTATATGAGATTGGTGAATGCAAAGCCTTACAAACAGCAATAGAAGATCTTGACTCCCATCCCAAACAACTGCAAACTGGTACAGTGTAGAATGCAAACTTGTATAGTACAGAATGCAAATCTAACTGGTCTCTCTGAATCACCCAAATTTACATGGGACAAAAATGTCTCCCTCTCAAATTGATAGAAATCACAAGCCAGCAGCGTTGAAAATCTGGGATAAAGAACACACATTGGCACATTGGAAAATTGATGTGTAGTTGTTAAGGTTGAGAATGTAGTCCCAGTTACCTCCCATTTTTTATGGGGTATATTTCCATAACAAATCGTGTGATGAGGCTAATGTCATATGCAATTTGGACAACTCCCCTATAATACTCACCGAGTTTGGGGCTCCAGAAATCTCTTTTACTATCACATTCTAGGCAAAGCCAATTTGTATTGACAATGGATCCCATAATATTGTCTAGAGGTGGTCGTAAACTTATATTTATGTAGCTTTAACTCTGTGAACCTTTCCAGGACCACCAGTAGAATCTCCTGATGTATTCCCAGAAGAATGGTGTATGTGAAATATGATCCCGTGTGTATATCAGGAATTCCTCAGCCTCTGCATTGAGAAGCAGCTGCTGATAAGTTTGGATAGTTTTCTTCCCTCAGCTACAAATAAATCTTCAATTTTTCATAGATGCTGGAATATGAAGCCAGCTTTTCATTCTTCTGAACCAACATTGTGTAATCCTTGGAAATCCACATGGACCTATCTGCCTTAATGAGTGGTAAAATCAGGGTGGCCTAGTGGGAAAATTGGACTGGTTCCAGAATGCCTTGTTTCTCCAGATGCTATATCTCTGCTTTCACTTACTGAGTAGGGCACGTGGCACTGAGCAGGGTCTGGGAAAAAAAAAAAGAGGCTCTGCATCTGGACTCACATAGATTTTTACTGTCATCTAGTTAGTGCTCACAATATTGAAGCAAAGATCTCCTTTCCTTGCTCAAATATTTTTTTCCAGCAACTGCAGCCTCAAAAGAAATGCTGTGCCAATCCAGTATGTTTCTATAGGCAGTTCCACTCTGGTGTGATCTTTTTCACACCAGCCACAAAAGTAGATCCCTGCCTTGCTGGCTTAACATCAGAGCTGGGGAACTCATGGCCCTCCCAGTGTTGCTGGACTGCATATCATCATCCCTGGTTATTGGCTATGCTGGCTGGGGCTAATGGGAACTGAAATACAACAACTTCTGGAGGTCCACAGGTTCCCTGACTCTGCTGGTCAGGGGAATAGTCCTTCTAGTATAGGTCACTTTGAAGGAACATTCCTGCAGAGTGTTGATGTGGTCAATAGGCTGGAAAATATGTCCTCCACTATAATGTAAACTAGTGCCCCAGGTTCCAATTCCATGAGACCTGTGACAACCACATACTCATATTGATGGTGAACAGTTATCACTGCCAGGTGAACCAAAAGCAGATGTTCCA